TAGCCACAATCCTGAAGATGTATGCAGTCGATGCATGTCGTGCTCAGACTGTTTCGTGCACATGGTTGATGTAAAGGGTTGCTTTTCTAATGCCATCAAATCATTGTCAATAGACTCCACACATACATACGTAATTGTTGCTTAATTATATTTCAAGGCATTTATTTAATTATTTTAAATTAATAGGTACGTCCGTACGTACAAAAAGAGCGAGCATGGATGCTGGGTGCGTGCTCACCACGCCTCCTGCCATCTTATCTCTCTCTCTCTGTAAACCTCCAACTTGGTCCACACAGAATTAACGCTGGACATCATTAACATACGCGAAGCCCTACTTAAGCAACCACCATCCTCATTATATTGTTAATTACTCAACGACAAGCACTATCGTGGTGGATATTTTCAAAAAAAATAAATTTTATTTTCTGTTTTAAATTAGATTTAATATTTAATATTAAAATAAAAATTAATTTTATATTATTTTGATATACTAATATTAAAAATAAATTTAAAAAAATTATTTTAATTTATTCCCAAGTTAGAAAAACTTTTAATAACAATTGTTACTTTAATTATAAATTCCTTCTTAATGCCTGATTGGCACTATAGTTTAATTTATTTTCTATTAAAATTTAATATAAAAAATAAAAAATATATCTTTAAATACAAATCAAACAATTATTAACAGGCAAACCATGTAACCACACAAACGCAAACCCTCATGATGTGCGGCACGGCGGCTGTACGCCCCTAATTTAAAATTGTTATCATATTAATTAATCACGACCATGCTTTAGTTAGTTGATTACTAAGTGTTATCATATTAATTAATCATGACCATGCTTTAGTTAGTTGATTACTAAGATAATACGGAAGAAAAGACACATATTTATCTGCCCTATTTCCCGGCCCGATTCTCAGCAATTTGGTCCTCGAACAAGAAAAAATCAACCGCCCCCGGCCCCATCCAGTGGATGATGCTATCTAATGAAGCCTTGAATATTCAAGATTCTTTTCCTTTAAAACCACACACGCACACGTATTAAAGTTCAAATTAAGCGATCGATCGAGGCCTTAATTCCCTCCTCTTTTAAATTGATGATTGGTAGCTATATAGGATGTTGAACTTCAAGATCGGCAACATTCACGGCGGCAGGTACGTCCTCCCTCCGGGTTAATTTCCTCCACTCCACGCATCACATAGAAAAAGAGACGGCGGCTATTCCCGCACGACTCTTACACGCAATGCAACATTATTAACTTATTAAATGTCCCGTCATCTCCTGCCACCACCGTATTTACCAATCTTGGATCAGAACTTGGAGGGGAAGAACATGTATCTACGCTAATATTAACCAAGCATGAGCGCTCATACCACCACTAGTTGCCTGCAGAACATCATAATTTACAGTGTGCGCTCAACAACCTATCACATGAGCAATGTTCATGCTTCTTCCCAAAGTGAAGTGCCGTCATAACTTGTAAAAATGCATGTGCCCGTACATATCATCACTGTAAGTACATCTGGGGACGTGCGTCTAATGAAAGTTAACGTTTCATTATGACAATATCTTTAATTAATCTTCATTAATTAATGATTGTTTGATCAAGAGCTAGCGGATGTAAAACAACCTCAAACACCTACCTGGCTATAAATATGTGATGTACCCGCCATTTGTGTATCAGCCACCAGGACTGCCTAGCTAGCTAGCTAGATCATAATCTCTCCCCTTGAATATTCTTATAGGCGCGCAGTACAGAAGAAATCCCTTCGTGATGGCCAAGTTTGTTGTTTCTTTTGTAGTACTCTCCTTCTTCTACTCCCTTCAACTGTCAAACGCAGCTTCTACAACCCTTAATGTGATCAAGTTTGGCGCAAAACCAGATGGCAGGACTGACGCAACCCAACCCTTTCTTAAGGCATGGTCAGCTGCATGCAGATCCGCTGCTCCGTCCACAATTTATGTGCCTAAAGGAAGGTACTTGCTGAAGGCAATAGTGTTTAGCGGTCCGTGCAGGAACAAAATAACGGTTCTGATACGTGGAACGCTTGTAGCTCCTACAGATTATCGTGCCCTAGGCAACTCAGGGTACTGGATTTTGTTCATCAAGATTAATCGAGTTTCTGTCTTTGGTGGCACCCTTGATGCTAAAGGTGCTGGCTTCTGGGCTTGCAGGAAATCTCGACAGAATTGTCCTGTTGGAGCTAGGGTAAGTAAATCTACAATACAGTACTATCTATATACATATCCTTCAATTAATGTACGTAGCAATTCAACAAGTTGCAATATTAATCATATTTGCAAATGCTGGCGAGTCATGATCAATTAATTAATTAAAGTTGATCTGATCCACATGGTCAACACAGTGCTTTCATGTGACGAGTCCACCCTTAATATTACGGCCCTTCGTCCATCAATTTTTTCCTGTCTTTCAGCTTAACAAACCTTAACTAAATCAACAACATGCACAAACATTTTTATGAAAAAAAAGAAAAAACAATCCCATAATTTAGTGGTTTATCTCTTAGCATCAAATGACTCTCTTAATTAATTTGCTATGCAGTCGATAACATTCAACTGGGCAAATAACATCCTGATTAGCGGCTTGACGTCTATCAACAGTCAATTAGCTCACCTTGTGATCAACAGCTGCAAGAAAGTTGTGGTCCGAAATGTAAGGACAATTGCACCAGACCAAAGCCCCAACACTGATGGCATTCACGTGCAAGGATCGACCGGAGTTTCAATCACTGGCAGCATACTTCAGACTGGAGATGACTGCATATCAATTGGTCCAGGCACTAGGAACATGCTGATGAGCGGCATTATGTGTGGCCCTGGACATGGTATCAGGTAAATATTAACCTCCATGTGTATTGTCTATGGATATTATTGATCATCATGGATTAATTGTACGTAGTTTAGTTAATTGCAAGGAGTCCTATTACGTAAGAAACTGAAGTGGTTCTGATTGATTTGTTGTACCACTTACAGCATTGGAAGTCTAGGCAGGCAATTCAACGAAGATGGAGTGGAAAATATAATGCTAAGAAATTCGGTCTTCAGTGGCTCAGACAACGGTGTCAGGATAAAATCATGGGCCAGACCCAGCAAGGGGTTTGTGAGGAAGGTTGTCTATCAAAACCTGATTATGAAGAATGTTCAGAACCCAATTATCATCGACCAAAATTATTGCCCTAACAACGAAGGTTGTCCTCGTCAGGTAATTAGTTGCTACAACATTTGGAATAAGCTAATTATTATCTGATCTTTAGTAAAACCATGCACGATCGATGAGATCTAATTATTTCTGTGTTTTATGTTTAATCTGTAATAGACTTCTGGGGTGAAGATTAGTCAGGTGATATACAAGAACATACGAGGAACATCAGCAACAGCAAAGGCGGTAACATTTGACTGCAGCCCTAGTAATCCATGCAGGGCGATCAGATTACAAGACATAAGGCTTACTTACAAGAATAAAGCAGCAACATCATCATGCAAGAACGTAGGTGGAACAAGCGCTGGAGTGCTTATGCCTAGGAGTTGTGTGTAACAATTAATAATTAGAATATACAATTAAGATTGATGATCAGTCGGCGCGTATATGCTCAATAAAGCTGATTGTTTCATTTAAAAAAGGGTGGTGTTGGTTTAATAACTTGGATTAATTAATTAATGGGTGAAACGCACCAGGTGTAAGCGGCTATTAAAGCTAGCATGATTGAGTGTGGCAGTGAATCCCACTGATACAAATATTGTTCTTCAATTATTAAGTTTAAAGAGCTTAATTTGTATATTAAAGTACTATTGCGCATAACGTGATCTCCTGTGTTATCATCTAGTCGTGGGTTTGGTGTTTTGATATAGTGAGATGTCTTTTATTTAAAAATATATTAAAATAATTTAATTTTTTTATGTTTAGTATTAAAACATCAAAATCATTAAAAAAACATTAAAACATAGTTTTAAATACGTCCAAAAACAAAACAATGCTTAAAAATGTTATTTCGACTTCTTAAACAGGAGAATTAAAAAATATATATGTCTTCGTATTCTTATTAATTAAACTATAAAGATTTTTTTAGATTAGTTTATATATTGTTTTTTTTAAATCATCTTTAAAAAAAAAAAAAGCAAACCTAAGCCACCTCCTAGGGTTCGAAGAACTCCAATGAATCCATGTATGGTAATTATCAACCAGGAGCTTTTCGTGAATGAGGTCACTATATATTCTGTAAAATTAAAGAGAGGGTGGCTAATTAAATGGGAGTGGCGTCATCAGGCGAATTAGATAGTCTTGGTGAAAGGGGAAGTTGACGTTTGCCTATCCCCTCCGAGTTAGACAGACAGCGGACCGGGGCGGGGGGCGATGGAAGTTTCCTCGGACCATCTTTTCTCTTATAAAACAGATTTATGACCAGACTGAAAACGAAAGAGAAGAGAAGAAAAGCAGTCAATGGATTTTGATGTTTGTCTTCTATAATTAACTTATCTTTATCTCTGAAAATACGAGCTAGCTTTCTAGCTACTGACAATTTCTTCTTGGTCAAATCTTGAATATCTTGGCGATTAATTTAATTTGCTCGCAGAACGTACCTTTGATCAAGTTAGTTATAAGCTTTGGTAAGGCATGCAGTATATATAGATGTGTATCCAATATGGTATTAATTAATATTGCTCCCTGAATAATTGAAGTGTTTAATTAGCAGTAGATCAGAACGGCAAATTGAGATCAAAGACCCGAAAGCGATATTGGAATATATATATATATTTTGCATCGTACTATGTACTTGATTAAGTACTTGCTGTCTTTTGTAGGAAGCATTGAACCGATCAAAAAGGGGGGAAGAAAAAAGGGATTTTGAAATGACGAGCAGCGCTGCAAATAAATGTAAGCAATAAAATCAAAGGAAGGGGAAAGAAGAATGAGAAAGGGGTCTTCGTGCTATGAACGAGGTTTCTGTAAACTGTGTTCGTGCCTGAAGAAATTCTGTCTTTTGTTTTTGTTGACGTGGTCAACAAAGAAAGCAACAAGATAAGATCTGCTCGTCGTTTGATCTTTCTATGAAAAACACGAGCGGTCAGTGAGCTTGTACGAGGGTGTGATTCTGACTTTCTAAACAATTTCTTGTCCTAAAATATATATTAATAATTTTTTTAAAAGTTTATTTTGAATACCAAGTATCAAGATTATTTGAAAATATTAAAATATATTAATTTAAATTAAATAAAATGTAAAATATTTGAATTTAAAAAAAAAAAACCAACGGGCCTACATTGGGCCATCAACGTCCAGAAGGATCATGCTTTTTTTTTTTTTTTGTGGGTTTTTAGTCAACTCGAGTGTGGCCTTGTGGGTGCCGCCCACCCCCGCCATCGACGAACGTCTACAAAAGTAGGTGTTTTTGTATGTTTATGGTGTTGAAAATACGGGCGTTCTAATAATTGTTTGAATTTTGGTTCTTCACGCAAGATATTTAACGGCCATGAAAATCCCTTATTGCTTGGCTGGAAAAACAAATATTTTACACGTAAATATCTTTTCATGGTGATTTGTGATGAGACAGTGCTCATGCTGATAGAGAAAGAGGGCGATGACCAAAATAAAATAAATTGAAATAATTAGATGGTACTGTAAACGAATTATTATTTATAAAATATTTTATGGGATTTCATGAATTAAAAATGTTTTTTAGAAATTAACTATAAGTTATTTTAAATTAAATAATTTTTTGTAAAGTATTCAACTTATGCGAAAATGGAATGAGCACTTCGTGCTGGCATCTTCTTCATACAAGAGGACAGATGCAGCAGAGCCATAGAACTGCTTCCCCTTGCTAAGGTGGTTAAAGAAAGGAACTCAATCTTATTTCCTTAAAACCACGGGGGTAAATATCACCGAACTATTAAGTTTATAGATGAAAGATGGTATTCTTTATACAACGTTCTTGCACCAAATAAATAAATGATCTAAAAGCTTTTTTATAAAATAAAAAAAAGTTAATTAGAAGTAGATAGGATCTTAAACCGATCCTGTTGTTGATTTAATTAAAGTTTAGATCATTAATTGCCTATGACTAGGAGAATCTTAGACTTGGATTTGTAACCTTATTTAAAAAAGTAAAAAGAAAAAAATTACAAATCATCTCAAATAATACTTACATATGATCATTAATAATCAATGATATCCTGTAAAAACCTTCAAATGTTTGGTATTATAGTGTATAATATTTTTTATTTAGAAATATATTAAAAAATTTATTTTTTATTTTAATATCTATGTATTAAAATTATAAAAAAACAATAATTTAATATTTTTTTTAAATAAAAATATTTTTAAAACATATGCAAACCCATATTAAAACACAATACTAATTAGAAATTAATGTAGTGTTTAACACTATCGTAATAATTATTTTTTAAAGTTTTTTAAATTAAAATTATATTAAAAAAATTATTTTTTAATTATGAACACATTAAAATAATTAAAAAATCAAAATTAAAAAACAAATCCCATCCTCTAATAACATAAAATAAAAAGATCAATTGATTTCAAGTTCAGTGCAAGAAAAATACAGCTGGGGCTTTTCTCTCTCTCTCTCTCTTTCTCTCTGTATTGAATACAGTTTGAGCTCCGGGGCTTTCTTTCATTATCGCAAGTATAAATAAAGCAGCTAATAGTAAAGCTATTAAAAGTCAAAAAGATTCCATTTTCCAGCAGTTCACTTAAAATAAAAGCATCCTTGGAGAGAGAACTTGAAAAAAGCAGCTGGTTGCTGATGATATTTTGTCCCTTCCAGCTTCTAGTTGTCAAAACAAGTTAGATTTTGTCGAGCTTCTTGGAAATCACTTGCTAGGGTTTTGATATTTTATATTGTGGTGGAAGTTGAAAGTTTCAGTTTTTGAGATTTCATTTCTCACGTCAAGTATTGAATTTTCACTTTCTGGGTTTTCTGTATTTGATTGATTGATTGTCATCTTGACAAGTAAGAAAGGAAGTGTTGAAAATGTACAGTGGATGGATGCTGTTCAGTTTGGCTTATCAAAGTTCGAGACTTTATCATCCCCAAGAAGTTGGTGACCGTTTCTTGTAAGTTTGGGAACTGGGTTTTCAATTATATACAGTAACTGTTATTATTCTCAAGGATAAGATAAGACTGAGATTTGTGTGAAATTCATGTTTGATCGTGGTAAAATGGAATTGAGTTCTTGGCTTTAGAATCATTGAATCAAGATTTAGAGTATGCTAAAGGAATTGTTTTTTATTTGAGAGTTGCTTAGTACTGGGGATTTTTGTGCATGACCATTTTGAAAGGAAAGTAATTTTTGGGTTGCAAAATTAAAGAATCAAGGTTTCAGTTAGAAGCAAGGGATTAAAAATTTTGAGATTGATTGATAAGTCTGTGAGATACCGTGTGTGATCACCATGAAGAAACAAAGCAGCTTCAATGGAAGAATTATGGAAAGGCAGCGGAGTTTCAGCGGAGTAACTGACAAAAAGAAAGTGTTTGAGAAGCAAGTGAGTTTTCACGGAATACCAGATAAACAGAAAGTGATGGAAAAACACCCCAGTTTTCTAGGTGTAGCAGAAAATGGGTCAGCTTCTCATAGAGTGATGGAAAAACACCCCAGTTTTCGTGGAGTGGAGAAGGGTTTACGTGGATTTCTGGATAAACAGAAGAGTTTTCGTGTAGTGATGGAGAGACAACTTAGTTTTATTGGTGGTGGTGAGAGGAAAAAGACCAAGGATTCACCTGGAAAGCGAGGTGACTCACAGATTCATTTGGCAGCACGTACTGGGAATTTGGGTAGAGTTAGAGAGATCCTTCGGAATTCTGATGGTACTGATTTGAAGGTTCTGTTGGCAATGCAGAATCATGAAGGAGAAACTCCTCTTTATGCAGCTGCAGAGAATGGGCATGCTGAGGTTGTTGCTGAAATGCTCGAATCCATGGACCTGGAGACTGCATCTATTGCAGCTAGGAATGGGTATGATCCATTCCATGTGGCTGCAAAGCAGGGTCATCTTGGTAAGAAATCATTCTGATTTTGCACTTTGTAACTTTTGTTCTCCATTAACATCTTGATGGTGTGTTTTTTAATAACAATTGTTAACTCACTTGAACTGACGAAACGGCTCCATTCTTTCCATGTATCATTTCTCCTATGATTTAATCTCATTCTTTGCATGCTACCAAATACTTTCATGTATTGAGAAGAGAAAAGGTCCTCAATTAAGTATTATGCAAATAATGTCCAGAAGATACTAGAATCCCCCAATTTCATGAGATATGTCAAGTGTTTTTCATATGAGCTACATGGATTCTGGTCGTGGGGTGGGGTGTTTAAGAGTACAGTAGAAATGCTTTTTACTCAGAAATGCATCAAAATAATATTTTTTTTTAAAAAAATTATTTTTGATATCAGCATATCACAACAATCGGAAAAACATAAAAAAAAAATTAAGAAAAGAATTGAATTTTGGCCAACCTCCATTTGGGCCGCAATCCCAAACGGGGGCTTAGTATGTCGCAGGGTTAATTTCTCCTTGAAACTTTTCAGTTCCTATGCAGCAGCCCAGCCCTCTATTAGACTCAAACTTTTCCTCTTTCTATCCACTTATGTTTGTCTAGCAACTACAGTCCTCTATTAGACTCAACCTTTCCTCTTTCTATCCACTTATGTTTGTCTAGCAACTACATGTTTTCCCTCTCCTAGAGGTTTCCCCACACTCTCTCTGTAATGAGACAAGCAGAATACATAAGTAGAAAGGATGCAATGTATACAAAGCACACAAATTAGTATAGGAAACAATCACAACCTTTATTAATCTCATCTCAACAACAAGGGAAATACACAAATTAGTATAGGAAACAATTACAACCTTTATTAATCTCAACAACAAGGGAAATACACAAATATGTATGTGTGCGCGCGATGCACAAAACTTGCACCCCAAGTTAGCATCTCTTATACAGCCAAGGCTCTCCAACCTATTTATAGACAAGCATATGAAATGTTACACCCCCCCCCCCCCCCAATCCCAACCGTGCTTCCATGTACACCCCCTCCCCCCCACCAGTGGGTGGTTTTGACTCATCATACCATGATCTTAGTGTCTTGAGAAACAATCCCAACCGTGCTTCCATGGTCCCCCCCCCCCCCCCAACCAGTGGGTGGTTTTGACTCATCATACCATGATCTTAGTGTCTTGAGAAACAATCCCAACCGTGCTTCCATGTTCAGCAGCTATGCCCCCATGATCTAGACACCCATTTCCCCCATTAAGCCATGATCATAACTGTCGTAACAATCCACTATACTGCTGTGTCATTGTCATTCCATGCTGTTGAATCTGCCATGTTTGTTGCCTGCCTTGGACTGTCCCACCGTCCAAGTCCAAACTCGCATCAGCCCACTGCTGCTGATTTTGCCACTGCTGCTGATTTTGACATTGTCTCATGAACTGCCACTGTTCACAATTTCTTTTTAGAAATGTTCTGTCAGCGTTTCATGTTGTATTTTGAGTCCGTTACAAACTAGCCTGTTTGAGATTCAAAGCATTGGGTATGATGCTCGAACCAGATAATGCATGAATTTCCAGAGTTTGGAGTGATTGGCATGAAATTAGAACTCAATGTAGTTTCAAGCCTTCTCATCTCTAGTAATTTTTTTAGTGTCTGAATTTATCTACCTGTGTGCATGTATTTCTCTTGCTCTTTCTGCTTAGGAATCTTTCTAGCATTGTTTCTTTTCCGTCAGAAACTTAACTTGAGCATTAGGGTCAAACTCACTGGGGACAGTAACATGAATCCTTTTCCTCCGTGCTGCAGATCTCAGCCAATTTCTTTTTTGTATGATGTTGCTAGAGTTTTTGCATTGACTATGAATCTACTGCATACCTTTTCTCTCTGATATTGAGACTAGAGGCTGTGTTGAGGTGTAAAACAAGACAAACAAATTTTTTGCATTGGCTATCTGCAATGCAAGATAAAATGTTCTGCTTAAAAAATTTTTGGTCATCACTTCTAATTTTCTTAAACTTTGCAGATGTCTTGAGGAAGCTTTTGGGTGTATTCCCCAACTTGGCCATGACAACTGATTCATCATGTACAACTGCTCTACACACTGCTGCGACTCAAGGGCACATTGATGTGGTCAATCTTCTTTTAGAAACAGATGCAAATCTTGTTAAGATTGCACGGAATAATGGTAAGACTGTCCTCCATTCAGCTGCAAGGATGGGGCACTTGGAAGTTGTGAGGTCCCTCCTAATCAAGGATTCAAGCACTGGTTTTAGGACCGATAAAAAAGGACAAACTGCATTGCACATGGCTGTGAAAGGGCAAAATGAGGAAATTGTGCTGGAATTGCTCAAACCTGACCCCTCTGTTATGCATGTGGAAGACAATAAGGGAAACACAGCATTGCATGTTGCAATAAAGAAAGGGCGTGCTCAGGTACTTCCTCATTTCTTTATCTCTCACCCTTTCTTATTGAGTTAGTTACATGTCTCAGAGACTACAGCAATGCATGATGTGTTCCTTGATGAAGTCTGTTTCATCATAAGCATCCTGTATCCTGTAGTGAGACATATATTGTTGATGCATGAACTCTGGTGATCATTACAACTTAGGGTCTCTATAGATAACACAAGAACTCTTGGTAGATTCGTTATGATTATGGCTCTAGTTGCACAGGAACTGTTGACCATCTTATCCTTGATAAGGTTTATCCTCTCACTTACTGTTAAATCCAAACAACTTTCAGAAATGATGAAATGCCTTATATGTGACTTTTATTTTTTTATGTTCAACACACCATTTCTCAAACAGTGTTGGAAATGATATGCATAAATGATGTCAAGATATTGATTGTTTGGCAATATGTTATAGAGTTGGCTATTAATTGCATTTTCTGTTTTTGAAATATTGATTTTCAATGAAAACCTCATGTAATTATTGTATGATGTACAGAACGGATTTTAAGGAGAAACCTTGTAATATCTTATATCCCTGTTGAAAGAATTGATTTCTTCTGCTTGAGACATTTTGGAAAGTTGACTGATTGAGGAATGAAAACTATGTCAAAGGAGAATCTTACTGTAAATAACTTCAACAGATAATTGTGGGTGGAGTATCTTGGGGCTATGATTTGACAAAAAATAAACTATTTATAATGGCATTATTGGATCTTATGTTGTAACCAGATAACATCATGTTTTCTTCACTTGCCTCTTAGTTCTTGTTTTTTCTTTTTCATCTAGTCAAAAGAATTTATATTTGTGTGGCAACATTCATTGAGATTCATCATTTAATTGCAGAATGTACGTTGTCTGTTATCAGTCGAGGGTGTTAACATCAATGCTTTTAACAAAGCTGGAGAGACCCCATTAGACATTGCTGAAAAACTTGGGGTCCAAGACCTTGTATGCATTTTGAAGGAAGCAGGGGCTAACAATTCCAAAGACTGTGGAAAGCCCCCTAGTTCAGCAAAGCAACTAAAGCAGACTGTCAGTGCCATAAAACATGATGTTCAGTCCCAGCTCCAACAGACCCGTCAAACTGGCTTCAAGGTGCAGAAAATTGCCAAGAAGCTGAAGAAGCTACACATTAGTGGCCTCAACAATGCTATAAATAATGCAACTATTGTTGCAGTTCTCATTGCTACAGTTGCTTTTGCAGCCATTTTCACTGTGCCTGGCCAGTATGTCGAGGAGAAAACTGATGGGGCAGCAATTGGGCAAGCCCGTGTAGCAAGAAATCCTGCTTTCTTAGTCTTCATCGTATTTGACAGCCTGGCATTATTTATCTCTCTGGCTGTCGTTGTTGTCCAAACGTCTGTTGTTGTGATTGAACAAAAGGGAAAGAAGCAGCTTGTGTTTATTATTAACAAGCTCATGTGGCTCGCTTGCCTCTTCATTTCAGCGGCCTTTATTTCTCTTACTTACGTGGTGGTGGGTAAGAAATTCAGGTGGCTTGCTATCTATGCAACAGTCCTTGGTGGCATAATCATGCTCGCTACAATTGGCTCCATGTGCTATTTTGTCATTTTACATAGGATGGAGGAGTCAACTTTAAGGAATATAAGGAGAGAAAGTCGGTCCCGTTCTTATTCTATGTCCGCGGCATCAGATCAAGAGATTTTGAACAGTGAATGCAAGAGGATGTATGCACTCTAAAGACATTAGAATATGGAGAGCTGAAACCAGGACTCTATGACTAATATCTCACTCTATATATGAAATTGCTACGCTCACTCTCTGGTGATTATAGAATTTGATGTCAGAAGTGGAGCTAAGGTGTTGATTTACTAAATAATGCTTTGAGATGAACATAACACTCAGCAATCGAGAGGAAGCCCCTCATCTTCTCATTCTGGCTGTACATGGACCTCTGAGAAAGCTTCCTCAATACGATTTTGGTTTCCTATTGGATGAGCTCAGATCTGGTGTGAATCTGAGTTTGATGGTTTCTGACAGATTCGATTGAAGCTCAAAGCAGGTATGAAGATGCCAATGACTGATGCTGTACAAGGGTCTGCTTGAATTTTATGCGTAGTATGTTGAAAATATTGTAATAACAGGATCCATCTAATTAATGGAGAAAAGCTTTATATCCCTGTTTTGATTGTATTCAGTTTAGATTGAAAGTTTCTTTTGCGTAAATTTAGTCTACCAAATAAACTGAAAAGGTTCGACAATGGAAGGATTTACGAACTCCAGCTATTAAATGCTAGAGCATTCATGCTCATTTAGCTTCCAGCTCTGAATCTGCTACGACAGGTGAAAACAAAACTCCAAATAGTTCCAAGCTTACAAAACGAGAACTGGCATTTGGAAAATTGCAACATTGATACTGCAATCTTCAGAAAAACTATTTAGTACAGTATGCTTTGATTTGATTACAGTGCTCGAGTATTTTTTTTTCTTAGGAAAAGAATGAGATAAAGAATTCTCACCAGAGATCAACATCTGCAAGCCAAAATAAACAAAAGGAACCAGTTCCAACATGATGAAATGGAAACCATTCTCCATGAGTATATACATCGAAGACTTAATGACTTGGTATCGGATCAAGCAACCTCAATGCTGCTTCCAGGTGATGTCAGCAAGTCCTGCCCGTTTCTATAAGACCTCACTATAGCTTCAAAAGTTTCGGAAATCATCAACCATATCAGAGGAACCACTTTGTTGCCTAATGTCAGACCGGTGAACTGAGCCTCCTTTTCCTTTCCATGAATTGTTTGATTTAGAGTCCATGCGCACTGTCTTGGCTGAGTAGCAGTGTCGAACAACGATTTGGTGACTTTGTGTCTCCGTTCTTTTACTGCCTTGGATGTTCACAGACAATGTAGCTTCCTTGTCTCGTGTGTCTTCGGACCACCAGTTTTGTGGGATTCCATCAACTAACTCTTCTAAGGAACGGAAATCTTCATGATGTACTGCGACCTCCACGAAGTGGTCTTGTTTAATTATGCCTGCTGCTGGTGTTACCTATATCCAGACACAGGAAAGAAGCTACTTCAGAATGAAACGAAAAGTTTCATTTGAATCAGATATGGAAAGAGAGGTTGAAAACAAAAGGTATATAGGCTGAAGAGGGGAATAAAAGATTCAGATAGTATGAAGGTAGGTAAACTCTCCAAGATTAATAGTTACAGAAGATCATTCTGGATGAAATGTCCTTGTTACGTTGCCAGCCAACTTGCTGGCCGTGCATGGACTGATACTGTTTTGGCTTGGGTTCAGGGCATTTAAATTTACAGCCTGATTTTATAAACTTGTATCAAGTTTAAAAAATAGTAAAATACCTCGAGCCATCTTGGAAAGCCAAACAAACCCCGTGAATGACAAGTGTTTTCCTCTCTGTCGTCGCTGACAGTGCACACACCTTCGCAGGTAATTCTGAATATGGCTTTTTCCTTAACATCCTTGTTGGTGATTCGAAAGACGACTGTGTCCTGGCTTTGAAGGCGGATGTTGTTGGTGCTTATAGCGGTTTCTGGCACATGAGGTAATTGTTCGAGGATAGACCTTACTTTCTCATTAGACCTGATCGCTTCTCCAAATTTTTGTCTCCTCACTGATCTATCAACGTGGGCAACTTGAACATGGAACTTGCAGCGGACAGGTTTGTGATCACTCTCTATGACATCCATGCAAGCTTCATACCTTTTGAACATGAAAATCAAATATCAGAGCTATGCAGAATTGCTTGTAAGGGGGAAGGGAAGCATCAAAATTATCCTATTGTGAAACCTACTGTATAATTGATGAGACTACAGGGCAGTCTAAACTGCAATCAGACACTGGAGCTGATCGATTGTCACGGTATATTATCCTATCACACCAAGCTGGAATGCGTTTTTTCTCCCCGGAATCGTATCCTGTGGATAATACACATTTCTAAGTTGAATGATATATCAGAATATTTTGCTTAATAAAAAGGAATAGAATTCAGAGGTAAACTCAATCAAGGTAATCTGTTTAAGATTTTCAAACAAGCCTAAGCTCATTTCCAGTACTGTGAACTGTCTTAACTAAAGGGATGCCAAAACTTCTACCATTTCTGCGAAATTTTACCTGCTAGACCTGGTTGGTGTCTTGCAAACTTATAAGTAGGAGGGAATGCAATGACTGCCTCACGCATTCCTTGAAAAACTTTCCCTGCCTGCATCTCTGCTCTGAGCTGATCCTTTTCTCTAAGCCAATCAAAGCTTCTTTGTGAAACAAAGTCTCTTGCTTCATCGTATGATATACCAAAAAGCCGATAATTAAAATCACCAAGAAACACCACCATATCTGCTTCAGCTAAATCAAGCCTTGATTCTTCATGGGTTGTACTTACAGCCTGTGAAGCCCCAATAACTTGTAACTCATAGGTCATACCCAATAAAGATTATCCTAGAAACTATAAAAGGGTCATTAGAACGTACATGAGTGCCCTTAACCGTGTGACTGGCAGTTGAGACACCAGCTACAATGGATAGGACCAGTGGGAAGTCAGAAACATAAAGCATCCAAAATAAAAATGTGGACAGGGCAAGAACGCAACAGAAAAACAGGAATCGCACCATACCAGCTGCCGTAACATTTGATGACCGACCAAAGGCCATGTTTCGAAAAATATGATCAAAATCAGCATTGCGCCGATTGACTGCTTCCAAATGTGCAGCCAAGTGACAGTTAACAAAGCACATTATCCTGTCAAGAACTCTAATTCTCAAACCTACACCTCCCTGCAAGGACAGATTAGTCAGCAATGCCAAGAAAATGGCGCACAGAAACTGAAATGGTTTTATATTGGCGATAAAGCACTAAGAAGATAGACATACGAACCTTATTACCAATTGCACGTCCAAAGCCACATGGAACTGCTGCAGCATCAACATCACCAACATGTTTTCTGAGATTCTTTCTTACCCTAATTGAGAACTCAAAATATCAGATGTAATAAGCTATAAAAGTGATGATCCCTTAGGGCACGAAGACAGGATTAAGATGATACTTCAAAGCAAGGAAAGACTAACTGGGAGCTTTCTCGTGAAAATAACAGGTTAAATATGAAACACACATTAAAGTTAAATTTCTTACCAAAGAGATATGAGCAAGCCTGCAAGCTGCCTGGAACCCATACGTTCAAAAGTCTTTCCTTCATCTAAGGCTTTTCCTATATTGTCCAGCCACCAGTGCCCAATGGCACTCCCTTCAAGTCCTACCTACAAACAAGCAGCAAACAAAATAATGTGCAGAACAACATAGAAAAAATCCAGAGTGTTGATTTTTCTAAACTCTAGGATGTTTATCTGGAATCAATATTTGTGATTAAACAACTAAGAATTCACTCAAGCATCTCTCTCTCTCTTTCTGCGTGAATTCATTGTACACTAACTTTTCATGATCCATTCCAATGAAAGTAAACCAACTTGATCTTACAGTTTCTTTTGCTGCAGACATGGCAAGAAAACCCGCACCCATCTCTACTTCTTGTAACCCAACAACAATAATGCCGACGTCTGATGCAGCAGAACCTAACCATGCTTTAAGGGCGTCCTGGGATGCTCTTCCTTGACCGACATTCCATGTACCAACTAAAATTCTGAAACTGTTCCGTCTTGTATACTCTAGTTCTCTCGATGCCACTTCTGATCGTATTATGCTGTCAATAGGTCCTGGGGATGCAATGCTCCATCCACGTATGCCACCATGATTTGCCAGGCTAAAAACATATCCATTTCCGACTGCCATTTTTAGCACAGGATTACTGTGAGCAACCCATGCAGAAATCATTTTCCCCTCCAGGTCTAATACTTGGATCATACCGCTCACATAGCCAACATATATCAGTGTTCCGAAAGTGCAAAAACATTGAACAGCAGAAGAATGATGACTGAATTCTTGTAAACGATTTCCATTCCCATCCCACTGCACAAGAAGGCCATCGGAACATCCAGTCCAGATCATTCCATCAATAGTCAGCACTAGTGCTTCTGTTCTCTTGGTATCGTCTACAAATGCTCCTGCTCCCCTGGTTGCAACTCGGCGAACAGCGTCAGCTGCTCCCATTATAGCATTACGTGAACGTTGCAGAAAACCCCCGGATTTCTCCTTTTTTGATGGGTGTACAAATTTTACCTTCATCTCATCTTCTACTGGCTGATCTTGCTGTTGCACTGACGGCAGTTCAGCTCGATTCTCAATTTGGCCCTCGGTATTGAATACCTTCACGAGCTCCTTTGTACGAGCATCCCTGCAGAAATGTAATGCTTATAAAGCTTCACGAGTAAAATTTAAGAAACCTGTGGCCGGGGCATAGCCTAATGGCATCCTCAATCCCCCAGAACTGACCATTTATCGAAAAATTTTAAAGAACGCATGACATTCTAGGAAGTTTAGAGAGAAAACAATACCAAATAGAGAAGGAAAGAGGCTGAGCACACCAAATTTTAGCTCTAACATTATCAGCTAACAAGCACTTTACATCTGAAGAAGATATGCTACAGGCACCATTTACAGTGACTTGGCTCCTGAGGTCAATGCAAGCCCTCTCCACCAACAAAGCAGCCATGTGCTTTTCCTCTGATGAAAGAGAGAGAGATTTCTCAATGACATCCCATTGCCAAATCCTAATAACACCATTCTCAGAACCTGACCACAGATCACCTACACGTATCAAAGCACAACAAATTTGAAGTTAGAGCCATGAGAAGCAAAAAACATGCCAAATTTATCTAAGGTTTTGGCAAGTATAACAGATAAGAAATAAGTACCAAGAGATGGTAAGTACTCAACAACATTAATTGACGACAATGATTAATCAAAGATCATGAAATGAGATTAAATGACAATAACTCATGTCTTTCC